GGGCCTCCCTATGCTGGGCAACATCCAGCCTGTGCTGAAAGCACTGTACTGGCTGCCGATAGCATACCGAATTTGCTTCAAGGTGCAAATTGTGTTTATTTACACAACGAGCCTTATTCCTAGTACCCATATAAGTACAGAACAGCAGCAACTATTTACAGCCAACTAATTCAATAGGAGCTGCGGTGGCTCAAGTGGTTAAGATGCTTAACTGCAGGCTGTGGAAGGTCAGTAGTTCAGCAGTTCGAGACCCAGGGTGCCGCATGACGGAGTGAGCGCCCATCTCTAGTTCCAGTTCCTGCCAACCTAGCAGTTCGAAAGCAAGAAATTGCAAGTAGATAAATAGGTACCACTAAAGTGGGAAGGTAACAGCATTCTGTGCGCCTTGGTGTTTAGTCATGACCACGGAAATGTCTTCGGACAGCGCTGGCTTTGAAACGGAGATGAGCACCGCAACCCTAGAGTCGGATTCGACTGGCTTTCGAGCAAGGGAACCTTTACCTTTACCTTTAATTCAATAATACTGTACAATCAAACATATTTTACAGTTAACAGTCCAACAGTGTACAATACTTAGCAATTTAAAATTACAGAACATACTACTATTCATCCATAGCAGTTAGTAAGAAAAGCCTTAAAGTTCAATTGAGCAAGCAAAAGTAACCAATGCAAACATACACACTTAGTTCATACACCTTTATAAAAGCTAAACCTGGGTATCAAGCAGCCATTTAGAAAAGACTAATACAACATTTAAAAATTTGTATCACTCACATGTCATCATGTACAGGTAAAACATTTTGTGCCCGATTAAAGCGGACACTAATTTTATACACAATTGTAATATACAAAAATCTTTTGAACTTTGACCCCTGAACAATGTAACACCGAATAAACAAAACATTCTACTCCCTTAAGTTTAAATTCTAACACCATGAAAGAAGTCAGTGCTTTTTCATCTCTGGCCTCTCATCATCTGACACGAGTTCACAAAGAAATGCAGTGATAACTACTGCCCTCTTGGAGATTTAGGAAAGATATGTTTATTCACTAAAATGGATGGGTGTAGTTTTGTACAAAAGTGAAGGACTA